CCAGCACCGCCCCAGCACCGCCCCAGCACCGCCCCAGCACCGCCCCAGCACCGCCCCAGCACCGCCCCAGCACCGCCCCGGGGCGCGGCCCTGCCGGCGGAGGCGCCTCGGCCGCGGGCGGGGCTGGGCATGCAGCTGGGCTGGCACTGGGCTCCGCTCCCGTTCCGCCCCCCGGCACAGCTCCGTGCCCCCAGCCTGTCCTGGGGAGCCGCGGTGTCCYGTGGCTTGCTCCGTGCAGCTCTCTCGACAGCCCGCGGCTGAATTCAAAACGGGGCYCAGTAGCAGCAGCTCCGGGCTGGTGTCCCATGGGAGGGGAAAGCACCCCAGCAGCAATGGATGGCCAAAGTGAGGGGGTGAAGGCAGCCTAGTGTTGCTGTCAGCTTGTAGTGCAGAGTATTCTCCCATCTTCAGTTTGTCTTGCAGGGGCTTCTTGAGGAAAGGATGGAGATTGTGCAGCTACTTGCTATTTGCAGTGGAACTGGTTGCCCCTTTCAGATCACAGAAAGTCTTAGCATGCACAAGGCACTTTATAAATTTTTTAAGGTATTTCTGGCCCAGTTGTATATTTTGTGAAGAAACCCCTTTTCTTTAAAACGTGTGCTATTTCGTTTTATAACCCTTTGTGATCACATTAAGACAGACTGGCCACTCAGTGTYCGGCCTAGTCATTTCATGGATCTCTGTCTCACTGACATTGACAGCCTTGTCAATGTCAATTTTGGGTGTTCCTCAAGCACTTAGTTGTGCTGAGTTATTCTTTGGTAATCTTTGTTAGCCTCTCTGTCATTTTTCAGCTATGATCTCTCTGAAATGGGAAGGAGCAAAATGACACAGTGTCCAAGCATGTGCAAAATATGAATTTCCAAAGCATCATATTTATTACCTGTTGTGTGCTCTGTTCACATGCTAATGTTTCTTAACCTTCTGTTCTATATGAACATACCTTAATTTTCAACTAATGCTAGTGAGGATTCTGAAGATGATCAAAACCATATGGGGGCCTAAAAGACATGCAAGATTGTATCCTCTCCAGATTGTAATTGTTCTACCTGTACTATTTAAGAAAAGGCAGGCCTGTCACCCTGAACAACTGCAGTGGCTCTGCCTCTCTTGAAAGTATGTCAAAGTGCAAAGGGGTAARACCTGCTCTTGAAATATGAGCTTCTTCGAAGAAGTTCCAAGTTTCTGTGACTTTTCTTGGRTATCTTTTGCTAGAAAAAAATGCTCAACTGAAACCTCCCACCCAGAGCTTTTACATTCATCACTTGCATTCATTTGTTCTTGTTTTACACAGATATACACATTTAATGAACTGGACAACTATCTTATATTGAAAAGAAGCCTTAAACTTGCTGGTTTCACTAAGATAAAAGTCCAGCTCCTGTGATAAGACCATGCTCTGTTCCAGTATCTCAGTCTAAGTGCTCCTTTCCCCTTTTCCTTATTGTGCTTCCACATTTTTCCTTCCTGACAAAAACACAAATGCTACTGATCAGCTAACAGAGGACAAAGTTTTCAGTGACAGCGAAGTGAGGCCACAATTGGCTGCTCAAGTAATAAGTGTTACTTTTGYTASGTGTTCTGCCTTGCCAAGTWGGTATCYTAGCAGGTGTGCTCAACATTTACACAGTTCTAACAATCATCAGAGATTAAGGGTGCTTCAAYAGATCAGTCTACAACTTGATTGTGYAATTTTTACAAAGGTGCTGTGTGACTGCCAGAACTTCCCATTCCTTTGCATGACTATACAACTTACCAGCACAGGGCTTTGCCTGAGCTTTTCCTCAGCCTGAAAAGCATGAGGTCGTTACCTTAAGTAAAGAGTATCAGTGTCTGTTCTGGAATAACCAGAAATGCTTGTGTGTAGTACCTAGACCCAAGTGTAGTGTGTAGTACCAAGACCTAGCCAAGAAGCTAATAACAGTGTCAGCTAATGACAATGGCTAGAATTTTTTTTTTACTATGAATATATATAATTTATATTGATTAAAAGTATTTTATAGCCATTTATTAAAAAAAATAATTAAAGAGCATGAATTTTTAAAAAATAATTAAAAAAAATCCCAAAAACCCCTGACCAATAGTCTTACAAAAATTCACATATCATCTCATATTGCTTAGCCACTATTGTTTTCATTTATGACAAACAGCACATTTGTTTTTCTTGTGTCCTCACATTTTGTTGGCTTCTTTACACACTTGCTAACGAATGTACACACTGTTGTGTCCTTTAATCAGAAGGGTTTGGGTTCTGAATTTGGCAAGGAAAATATTTGAGGGGAAACAGTAGAGAGGAAGGAGATTTAAAGGAAAAAATGAAAGGATTTAGAACARTTGTTCAAAGTGTTAGGAACCAGGAAAGCTAAAGTCAGGGATTTGATTCATCACWTGGATACATAAGGTCAAGCAACTACCTTTTTSATCAGCATAATAATTTGGGTTGTGGAAGTACTCCCCGTTCTGCTGCYTTTTTCCATAAAATACTATAGGTTAGTTGTAATCTTGGTTTTAGCCTTTTTTTTGTCAACTATTTAATACATGGTAACAAYATAGTGCTATTTAAAAAGTGAACACAATTGCTGCTAGGTAGTTGCCATTTCTCTGTRCTTGTTCAAAGATAATTTTCTAATAATCTCTGTTTATTCAGAGTTTTAGAAATTTGGTCTAATGCATAATCYTTTACTACAAAGTGCTGTATATTTACAAAACATCTATATTCAATGACTTGCATACATATACATTGTGTGTGTGACACATGCCATTAGAGAAGAGTTTAAAATAAAATCACAAGAACAAATTCTTCTAACCTAAATTTTAGAATCCTAAAGTCCCAGTCAGTTTACATTTATTAGCACTCATTTGAACAGGTATAATTTAATATCTAATTGTAAGCCTTGTTTCTRCTGAATGGAAAAGTAAGAGTTCTCAATGGATTACTGAAGAGCACAGTTGGGGGAAAAATTACAAGTTTAAATATTTTAAGTGCATAAATATTTACTGAATACACCACCAGTTAACATACTTAGAAATATATGACTGCCAGTTTCAACTTGTTTTCCTAAAACATGACATGTATGTAATCTTTATAGTAGTAGTCTACTCTTGTTCTTACTAGATCACCCAATAYTTGTTTTGGTTTYGATACATAATTTTAATTACTAGATSCACAGTATTTTTTTATAGTGAGAGGTTTTAGTGATATCGTTAGGTTTTAATGAAGTAAGAGTCTCTTCTGCTCAATTCCTGTTCCAACCTCTGTCAAATTTTGGAAACGTCATTTTAGTGCACACAGCTTGGAAGTCTGTCTCCTGAAGGATGATCYGATGCTGGGTAGTCTATAACAGATGATAAATATAGGGCTTGTTCTTAAGTTATTTCCACTGCAACTACATCAGTAACAATGAAGGTGCCTGATAAGGGTAAGATAAAAAGACATGGAATGGCCCAACAATGCTATGGTGCCCATAGGGAAAGCTCTAGTAGACATAAGATATCCAAGATTAAATGCTCTACTTTGGCATTACCTTTGCTATATCAGTAATGATTACAATATTTGGGGACTAGCTGTCATAACTGTATCCTCACAAAGAGGCATAATATCTACTTTTCTTCCACTCAGTTTCATTTAAAATTTGGCATGAATGGAAACAGGATTGGGCACAAAACTTTTTCACATTAAACTATAAGATGTAATTATTTTTACTTTTTCTTATTCATACTACAAGTACAATTAATACTTAACTGTATTCWGCTCTATGTAAAGAATACAGTCTCTGCTCTGAGAATATGGGGTTGTGACAGAACCCAGCATTACTAAAAATACAAATGGGAAGTGAGAAGGTAAAAATAACAGTACAAAATTTTATTTGCATGAATTGGTGGTAATAGTCCTGAAAGCCATACTGCAGTAAGTGCAGCCAGTCTGTATTCTAGCCTCAGATTACAGACACTTCAGAAGCACTCATTTTATTTCAGGCTTCTGTAAGTTTTTTAAAACCCGTGGAGGTTAAAAAAACCAGTTCACTGCTGAATATGTTTAATACACAAGAACCTTTCACTCCATGTATAGTTTCAGATTTTCACATCATGCAAGTGTAAACTTTTTGTGTTGAGTAGCACAGGTCTATTTATATACAGTAATCATGTAATCAAAACCTGACACTTCCTATGCAGCTTTTGCTTCGTAAGTAAAATGGCCATTAAAAATTTTCTGGCCTGTAAATGAAAGCTATTGAAAAGAGAAGAGCGTTAACACTGGTATTGATAAAAATCTCTTTCAGCCTTTCAGCAACTACAAATACAAATTTTAATGCTGGAGGCTTAGTGTGGCCATGGGTCACTTCAGCTAATCTATTAGTACAAATCATTTGGCAAAATGTCTTACATGTCCATTATGAAATCCAGAGATAGGACTGATGAAAACAGGTAGATAATACAGCTATAGAGAGAGAATTTGGACTGCTTTATGCAGATGAGACAAAGAGTGAATTAACAGAAAAGAGAAAAAGTGTGACAAATAGAATGGGCACTCTTGATTACTTTTTAAAATTTTACTGATTTCCTGGATATATAAAAAAGCAAATAAATTGAGGTTAAAGAAAGGCGATGATTGTCAATWTCATATCTATTTTTAGAAATATACACTGGAAGTAAAAAAGTTCAGAATTAAGTATCACAATGTATCTTATTTTGTGCTTAAGATGAGTTTGAGAGTTTTAAATGCTGTTCAGTGCTTGAGCAAATGGCTAA